CGGGGGGGGGGGGGCGAGTACTGCTATAAACAAAGATGACGAGAATAATATTGTCATGATTCAACTGTAATGATATTAATAGCGTTTATTATGTTCTAGGCACTGTTCTGGTTGTAGCATAGATTGTGTCATTTAGTTCTCAGAGCCGTCCTATGGGAAAGGAGCCAACATTATTCCCGTAACAGGAATAATGAAATGGTGGCATAGGTCACACAGCAAGTAAGTGGCGAAGCTGGAAATCACACCCAGCCTGGACCCAGAGTCCACACTCTTAACCACCATGCCAAACTGCCTCTCTAGGTACTGCAGAAAGTTGCCAGAAGGAGTTAGTAGTGGGCAGTGGCCAGTGGGTTGGGGATGTCTGATAAGAAGGTGGCTGAGAGTGTCGTTGACAACATGGTGGTCACTGATGATCAGTGAATGGTGGGTGAGGAGCCATATCCAGGTGGGTTGAGGAACGATGGAGAATGAGGGGGAAAAAATGATCCCTCTTCTTTTGAGAATCGTGCCTGTAAAGGGAAGAGATAGAGGTTCCTGCTAGGTGAGTGGAGATTGTTTTAAAAAAATTTGTTTTTTGATGGACAGACTTGAACGTATTCCTAAGCTAAGGGCAAACTGGTAGAGGGCGAGTCTAAGATTAGGAGCAGAGGGGCGGGTGTTGGATGGATCAGTGCCCTGGATATTGGCGGCTTCAGAATTAAGAGCACAGGGAAGGGCTCCCTTGTGGACAGGAGACGAGAACCCCACAGCCTCACGGATGGGACCGAGGAGATCAGGGTGTGGGCCAGCGGAGACAGATGCACTGGTGGGGTTCGGGGACTGACGTTATTCACATCCGCCATCTGCTTTCCACGAAGATGTCTCCTGGGCCTCAGATTCTAGCTTTTTAATAATTAATTTTGCATTTTAGAAGAGAAATATTGCACTCATTCTCCAGGCGGATGCAGTTTGTGGTTGAGTGGCATGATAGCATCACGGTGAAGGCGTCTTCTTTGGAATCGTCAGTCCTGATTTTAGCCTCTTCTCTGCCACTTAGTAACTTTAACCTCGAGGCTCTGTTTTCCCATGTGTGGATGGCAGATGGAGACAGTTCTTACACTGCCGTTTCCAGGAGAGTGTTCAGCACAGAGTGAGTGCTTAATTAAATGGGAGCTATACTGTTTAATCCACAGTTAGGAGGCAGCGGGGTTAGCATAGTGATTCCAGGCCTGTGTGCTGAAATCACCTCGGGCCGGCTACTCATGTCCTCTGTGGCTCATATACCTCTTTGGTACAGTTGGGGAACGCCACTCCCTACCTCGTGAGGTTGTTGTGATGTATAAGTGAGATGGTCGTAGAAAGTGCAAGCAAGGTCGAGTAAAAACTGTCTACAGGGGTCCAAGGTTGGGGTAGGCAAGCTACAAGCTGTAGGCCAAGTCCAGCCTATAAACTAAGAATAGATTTTACATTTCAGTGCATGACTGAAACAAAAAGGAAGAGTATGTGACAGGGATTATAGGTAGCCTGAAAGGTTTAAAACCTTCACTAACTGGCTTTTTATGGAAAAAGTTTGCCACCCCCCATCCAGCTTTACTGCCTGCCCAGCATTTATGAGGCTACTTATTGCACCGTCATTTGAGAGATTTAAAAAAAAAAAAAAAAAAATCTTTTTAGCTTTTACAGCCTTGGAAGTTACATATTCTAATTCCATTTCATTTTCTTAATTGCATGAAATGAATTGAAATGACCATTTTAAAATGACAATTATTGCATTTTTTTATTCAGTTTCCTAGGTTGTAGATTATGACATTCCGTAATTTCTCAGTAGGTGTATTTCCTCCTATTCAAAAGAATGCGTCTATCTTAGTTTTTTGTCTCATCACTTGAAAAGTTGAGAATGGGGTAAGACGTTCATATTTTAAACTCACTGGTTGGAACCTGTAATTTGCTTGTGACCCTTGAGCTGTCGTGATACTCTCCTCCTCCCTCTAACCGTCTGGATTTTCCTGCTTCATTTCCAGACTGTTACTCTCTGTTGCCCAAGTGCCTTGGTGTGGAACTACTCCGCACATGACAATAAGAGCGCGAACCCGGGCTCGCCCCTGGATCTGCTGCAGGTGGCCCCCTCCAGCCTCCCCATGCCGGGCGGGAACACGGCTTTCAATCAGCAGGTAGGCTTGCTGTTACAGTGGTTTGTCGGGTGTTTTCATTCTCGGGAAGCATCACAGCACAGTGGGCTAAGCCTGGATTGCAGCAAACTCAGGTTCTTGGGGGCCATTCCCAGCTCTGCCGCCGTCTCTCCTGGTGACCTTGGGGAAGTCAGTAGCCTCTCTGAACTGCAGACGTTTGTCACGTTGCTCCTTTTCTTCTCACCCTCTTGCTGGGCTGTTCTTGTGGACGGTTCTGCCCCCCAGACAGTAATTATGGTGGTGGTTCTAATACATGACCACAACATCCAGAGTTAGGAGTCTGGATATTTAGTAACTATTATATGTTTTTATCAGTGCTGGGTTATTTGGTTCAAAGACTGAAGAAACTTGAACCACAGGACCATGACAAATATTTAGAACAAGAGCCCTGTTTTTTTTTTGTTTTTTTTTTTTTTTAAACCAAGCAGTTTTCTTAAATTAATAAAGCGTGGCTAGTTGCTTTCATACACAGAAGAATGGCCCAAAGATGGTATTTTAGAACTTTTACCTTTCTTTCTGATGTCCTAAAAATATTTCACTTGTAAAGATGTTTTTTGGCAAGCATTTATTTTTGTGAGTATTTATTATCAAAAACTGGCATTGGATCAGCACTTGTAAATTTTAAAATGCACTTCTTGGGCAGCAGGCTGAATTTCCTACAGTGCAATCGAGATTGTAGCTCACTGGAGGATGCTCTGCTCGTCTGGAAAAACCTGACATCATTTAGACAGCCATTGTGGCTTTCCAAGCACAAGTTACTTAGAAGTGATTATCTTTCAGGTTCGGGCAAGGATTTATGAGGTGGAACAGCAGATCAAACAAAGAGGCCGTGCAGTGGAAGTTCGGTGGTCTTTTGACAAGTGCCAAGAGTCAACAGCAGGTACAGAACGCAACAGAAGAAGGAGTGCTTTGGAACGCTGGACTTTTTGCCGTGTTTCTGATTCTTGTAAATCAGTCCTCATTCTGAATAAGGATGCTTTTGGACTTAGCCCCCTAGTGCATTTTGAGGACGTTGTTCAGTCTATGCCCTTTAGATCCTGGCTGTCTAGAATGTCAGGTTTGATTTTGTTGGCAATTCTTTTATGCTGAAAATGATAATGTCTTAAAATTCCCTTTGTCCCACATAATGATGACTTTGTACTATGCTATTCTGGCTTTGTTTGGCCCTTCTTAACTGCATGCTTAATTTCTGCACCTAGGGGTTACCATTAGTCGGGTTTTGCACACGTTGGAGGTGTTGGATCGACACTGTTTTGACCGAACTGATTCCAGCAATTCAATGGAGACACTTTATCATAAGATTTTCTGGGCAAACCAAAACAAAGATAACCAAGAGGTAGAGTTAATATTTCTTTTCCGCTTTGCACCTTTTATTTTCTTAGCATATTTTCTTCTTTTTTATTCACTGAATTCTGGCAAAGCCTTTTCTGTGAAGTGTAATATCTTATGAAGGCGTCTACACCCTGAAATCATTCTGTTGTTGTCGGACTACAGTAACTCACCATTATTAAAATGAACTGTCCGCTGGGCTGGTCTATCTAAGTATATTGGTTGACAAGATTTTTCTTAGCCCTTTTATCATCACTCCCCATCATTTTAGTTTTAGCAGAATATCCTTCATCTAGTGATTGGATTTTATATAATGGTTTGGCTTTAATTTAAGGGGAATGTGTTCTAATATTTAGCGTGTCAGAGAGCAGTGAATGAATCCTTGCGGTCATGGTCTTTGAAAAATCTGTAGACAATGTATTTGGACAGGATTCTCCAGAGAAACAGAACCGATAGGGGGAAAATTATATATTTTATATATATATATATATATATATATATAATTATATAAAAGCAAGGGAGAAGTTTATTTATTTTAAGGAATTGGCTCACGTGATTGTAGGGGTTGGCAAGTCTAAAATGTGCAGGGTAGGCCAGTAGGCTGGAGACACAGGGAACCTTTTCTTTCTTTTTTTTTTTTTTTTTTTTTTTTTTTTTTTTAAGGAGGAAGGGATAGGAGTCAAGTATATTTAAAAAGATCTTTCCCGTTAAATATCAGCAAATTCTTTAGTCCATTTTAAAGATATACACAAAAATGATGAGAAATGCAAGTCTTTCAAAACAGCAGGACTTTTTATTGTGTGAGGCCATGCATTTGACTGGTCTGTTCACCTGGAAACCCACCCAATTGATGTGAAAATTTGGGTCATTCTTGTTCACTGCTGCTTCTTTCTACACCCATTTCTGGCCTCCCAGGTTCTAGGGGCTCTGAAGGGAAAGATAGACAAGGAAAGATGGGTGGTAGGTGGAGTCCCAGGAATGGTGGACTGGGAAGAATTAATTCTGGCCACTTCTCCAGATGCTGGTGACATGAAATGAGAGAGACACACAGGGTGTCCAGCCCCAACGTTTAAAGGTGAAGACTTGAAGGCTCAGAGCAGGGAAGTGACTTGCCCAAGGTCACCCAGCAAATGAGAAGCAAGACTGGGGCCCGAACCTAGGACGCCTGCATCACAGAGCAGTGTCTGTACTTAACAGTCTGTGATAGGTACTCAAGCATGCTTAAGGAGAGACATACGCTTTGTGTATGACTAGTTTTGCGTTTTCTTTTCCATCCATTTCCAGACACAATAGATGCTTCTAGAACTCTCCACTGGCATATTTTCATTTGACTTGGAGGCAGTTTTTTTTTTTTTTTTTTTTTTTTTTTTTTTTTCTCTTAAGGCCTTCAACTGATTGGATGAGGCCCACCCACATTATGTAGGATAATCTGCTTTACTCAGAGTTTACTGATTTAAACGTTATTCACATTTTATAAAAAAAAAAAAAAACCTTCACAGTACCATCTAGACTGGAGTTTAACCAGAAAACTGGGAACCATAGCCTAGCCAAGTTGACACATAAAATTAAGCATCACAGACAATTTTTATTTTATGCTTTCCTAGCAGTGTCTCATTATTGAACTGCCCTATTAAGACAGAATTTTCAGTAATGTTTTCTCAACCTTATTTTGGGAGATATAAAAATTTTCTCTTCCTTTTACAATGGAAAGCATGTGTGGTATATCCAAGTTGTGGAGGCATCAGGACTGCAGAGGTAAGTTTTAACACATGGTACCCATCTTGAAGGAACACTTAATTTAACTTAATTGTTTGAAGTATAGTTGATTTACAATATTAGACTCCGGTGTACAGTATAGTGATTCAGTATTTTTATACATTATACTCTATTTAAAGTTATTACAAAATAATGGCTGTATTTCCCCGTGCTGTATGAAGGAACACTGTATAAGTTAACTGATTATAAATATCTTTGATTTTCATACTCGCCTTTGAGAACGCATAGGTGGAAAGAAGAGATAAAAGAACAACCAAAAACCTTTCCTTATCCTACCTTCATGTGAACCTGATGTGAATTTGTTCCAGGCTATTCTTCTTTTTAAGATAATTTGTAAGTCAGCACCTTGCATCTCAAAGATAAGGTTCGAGACCGTTGATGCCAAGTAGGAGGTCAGGATGTTGAGAGTGAGGTACAGACCGAGTGTGTTTTCTAACTCCTTGTGAGTGAGTCTCAGTAGAGATGCCTCAGTATCTCTGTAGAGCACACTGATGATAAGTCTACCTAATTCTCTGCTTACTGATGCAGGTTAGAGTGTTGCTGTGTCCTTTTGGGACAGAGACCTGAAAGTCTCTCCATTTGTTAATACAGACTTTTTCTTAGCTGAAAGGCCTCAACAGTACTAAGATGTTTTTTTAATGCATAGAGGTGAGCCGTCTGGAAGGACAGCAGGGACACCTGAAATTCCAGGTGTCCTTTTGGATCGCTGAGCTCTCTACCCTGGTGCTGAGTCAGGACGGCATGGTTCCCTGGTGCGAGTTTTATTACCAAAATCCCTAACGTTTACTTATTCTAGATTTGCGCTACGTGGCTTTCCATTCAGTATAGCGAGAGATGTGGTGGGCTGCTGAGCCCAGGTGACCGGGAAAGGGGCTGCCCTTTCTGAACAGGGCAGCCTATCTCGGCTTCTGTTGCCTGATCGTCCCGTGTTTCGGGAGAACCTGGATGCGGAGATCTGTATGTAAACTCTCCCAATCTTAAACCCCTCTGCCGGCCAAGCCGTATGTCTTGTGGGCCGTGTTTGCTCAGCTGCCTGTCACGTTCCAGCGCCTGCTACGTGTTTTATGCAACGCTGACTCAGGTAGCTTCCTGTTCAGTGTCTTAGAACCACTTGTGCTGTGCGTGCTAGAGGTGGAGAAGCCCGATACCCACGCGAGGGGGTTACTTTGGGGCCGTGAGGACCTCCTGATTCCAAGCCCTGCCTGAGTCTGTCACGTGTGACCCACAGGCAGGGGTTGCGTTGCCGACCTCACCTCTGAGCAGCAGAGTCGGGAGGTGCCCCCTTCAACTTCCAGAGCCCCCAGACCGCTTCCTTCCTCTTGGCTTCTCCCCTCATTTGTGTCGGGCTTGAGGGGAGAAGCAGCTGCAGCTGCGTCTTGGGGTGTCCTGAGGACATGGATAGAAGGGAGAGTCAAAAGGAGGCCTTATCCCTTCTCTCTGTGGTGCCCGAGGAAGCAGACTTTCTCCTGAGTAATGACAAGGCCAAACCGGCTGCAGTGGCCGAAGCTGGTCGGAACAGCGGCAGACGTGCATTTGCTCTTCCCCTGCTGTTAAATCCAGCTCCCTGGACAGGTGTGATGAGTTCACATGGGTGTTTTTGAATGGAGAGTCCAGAGCAGGCCTTCTTTCAGCTCTGGTCCGGGCCAGCTCCGCAGCAGTGCGGCTGCAGGACTCTACCCACAAGGCAGAAGCTCTGTGTCTTTTCTGTCATGGCTGTGCTTTGTTCCGTGTCTCTTCTTGTGAGCCAAGGGTTGCACAGCCCCAGGGCAGCTTCCTCCTGGTCACCGGCACACCACCAGCCTCCAGCACCGCGCCAAGGCCCAGCAAGCCCTCGGAAGATGTTTAATTGTTTTTTTGGGGTGCTCATAAAAAGGCTGCTGGGACTATGAACAGGAAGCGGCAACCCCTCTGAAAGATTTGGCTGGGAAGGCTCGGGGTGAGGTCAGTGATGAGGTCTATTCAGTATGTGGGTTTTACCGGTGGCTCAGGTTCAGACGCACAAGAGGTACGTGTAGGTGCAGGTGGGTGGGCGGGCGGCTGACAGGAGAGCTCTCAGCTGGCGAGTCAGCAGGTTAGTGCGTGTATTTGGTGGCATCACGGACAAGTCACTTAGCTTGATGAGTCTCAGTCTCTTCATTTGTAAACTGGGCATTCTGTCTGCTGATGATGGGAAAATGGCACGAAACCATATGGATGAAACATTTCAATATTTATAGCTTGTAACTGGGTACTCTGTAAACACTAGCTGCTGTCCTTCCTGAGTGATGGATTTAGGGAGACCATGAAAGACAGATGGAAGGAATATGATCCCTTGGCGTGGAGGGAGAGAGAGAGAGAGAGGGAGAGGGAGAGGGAGAGGGAGAGGGAGGGAGGGAGAGAGAGAGAGAGACAGAGACAGAGACACAGACACAGACACAGACACAGACACAGACAGACACACACACACACACAACTCTACCCGTTGCACAGTCTGCTTAATCCATAAAGCACAGCCTGGATCTATCAGGCTTTTTACGCCCTCGGATTTTCACGAAGGCTCTGCCCTCAGTCAGTGGGGAAGCAGTTGGGTGGGGTTGGCTCGCCCTGGTGAGGTGGCTGAGTACCATGTTGTCAGAGAGATCGTGCTCGTTTCGATGCTTCGGGTGTTTTTGTGTTTTTTTTTTTTTTTTTTGTGTACGCGGGCCTCTCACTGTTTCGGCCTCTCCCCTTGCGGGGCACAGGCTCCACACGCACAGGCTCAGCAGCCGTGTCTCACGGGCCCAGCCACTCCGCGGCATGTGGGATCTTCCCAGACC